GTGATTAGGAAAATTCTGTCAGTTGTAATACCTCCAGAGAGGTGCCATCTCACGAGAAGCTCATGTAGTAGTTCCAGCTGAATTCTGCAGAGACTGACAGACAAAGAAAAGACTTTTGACTTAATAGTGGGAACTTACACTGACTTAGGGTTTCTTTCCAATCCAGCGAAGGGATGGGACCTTCTCTCCAAGGGTAACCCTAATCCTTCCTGGGACGGGTCGAAAGGACTTTGGCCAGCTGAGACCACCTAAGACGGATTGGTGATTTCAGGTAAGCTTTTAGCATGTGCATAAGACCTTCTAATGATGTTTATGTTTTCTCTGTAATGCTTTCACCTTAATAAGAAATGTACTTGCTTATAAATTACCACACAGCCCTTTATAATTGCTGGCAATTATGTTGTTCATAGTCTCCAAAGAGAAAGCAAAGGGTGGATTCCAGAGTATTCCAGCAGTCTGATTAGCTGGGAATAACAAGGCACAGAATGGTGCCGCCCGGAAAAATCCTGATCAAGACGGAGAGAGATGTGAGTCTCTACCCATGTTCTATGCTTCTGCATAATCCTACGTAGCATAATCCTTTGCCCTCTGTGGAGAGAAGTGTGCCCAGACCCAAGTGAGCACAATGCCCAGGCCTACAAGTGGGTGTCAGAAAAAACTAAGGGGGGGTGCTCCTGGGACCAGAGCAGGGTGACAGATTTTCCTTAAAATGTATGGGGGAAATGACACCCCCCTTGACTAAGCCAAAAACCAGATTTGAGGAAGGTAATCTGACCCGTCACACTTGTTTTTTTGGGGGGGGAGGAGCAACCTCAGCCCATATTCCTGCCTCTTGGGACAGATGAAAGGTCCACAGCTCCCCACACAGCTCTTAGCTCCATTTCCAGCCTGGAACGTTCACTCCCAAGAAGCCAAGCAGAAAATATTAATCCAGACAGCCAGGATGTCTGAGCCACTCAGCCCAAAGGCAGACAGTGCAGATGCCACAATGCCGGGCAGGGATCCTCTTCCCTTCAGTAGTCTGTGGGGGATTTAAACACCTTTGTTCCCGGTGCTATCTGGGCACTACCAGGGAGCTGACATCCTCTGCAGGCCCCTGGGCAAGGTGGGTATGCCAGCTCTGTGCTCCTAAAAGGGGTGGGACTGAGGGCCAGCTCTCAGTGCTATCTGGAGCACATCACGCCAGCCCCCAGGCAGCCCTCGGTGCTGCCCAGAGTGCAGTGCCCTTACCCCCAGCTCTTAGCACTGTCCAGCGTGTGTGGGGCAGCACTCTGGCAGTGATGTAAAGGTCCCAGGACTCTGGCTGCTGCTACTTCAGTCAGTGGTAGCGGCCGGAGTCTCAGGCTTCTAAGCCCCACACCCTCACCCCCGACAGTGGGCCCGGGTACTATCATGTTTAGTTACCAACTGTCCACTCCTCTTTGAGCCAACACACTTCCCCTTGTGAGTGTGGGAAAGCCCTGACTGAATGGCTGTGTCTACACTGGCATGAATTTCCGGAAATGCTTAAAACAGAATAGTTTTCGTTATAAGTATTTCCGGAAAAAGAGCGTCTACATTGGCAGGCTGCTTTTCCGGAAAAGCCCTTTTTCCGGAAAAGCATCTGTGGCCAATGTAGACACGCTTTTCCGGAAAAGAGCCCCGATTGTCATTTTCGCAATCGGGGCTTTTTTCCGGAAAAGACTACTGGGCTGTCTACACTGGCCCTTTTCCGGAACAGTGTTCCGGAATAAGGACTTATGCCTGAGCAGGAGCAGAATACTTTTTTGGAATAGCGGCTGATTTTGTACAGTGGAGCGTCGTTGCTTTTCTGGAAATTCAAGGGCCAGTGTAGACAGCTCGCAGCTTATTCTCGAAAAGCGGCTGATTTTCCGGAATAAGTGGCCCAGTGTAGACACAGCCTATGGGAAGACAGAGGGATTTCCTTTGGCATCCCTACCACTCCCACCCCTTTGAAATTACCTTTTATTCTGTTCTTACCATTCCCTTTCCACAGTCACTCCGGTCTCACTTGCGCACACCAGTAATTCCAGTGATGGCCTTGCTACAGATGTCCAACATGAGTCTCGCTCTCCCTGCGCATCATTAGTCCTCCTGCTCTCTCCCTCTTTACACAGAGGGGGCCCAGTCCTGAACTCCCCCACGCACCCTTCCTTCTGGCACAATGAGTTCAGTTTTCTGATCTCGGATGCTAAAGAGTTTGGCAATATGCAGGGAGGGAGGGGTCATATATGTGCTTATCTGGTTTGGGGTCAGGGAGGAGGAAATCCCAGCTCCTTTCTGCTAGTAAGGTGAATTTTTCACTGGGCGGTGTTAGCTGCTAACTCCAGAGACAGACTTGGACACGTAGGTGAAGTAGGCTTTTACCTGAAGGGATATGGGGAGATTTTTGTAGCCAAGACTAGGAGGACTTCTCACTGGCTTTCTGGACAGTTTGACACCTGGGAGGCAGGTTGGGAAGGAGGGTGGTACAGGTTTGTTTGGGGAGGGACCTGAAAGGACTGAGATGGTTGGGCATTGCAGAGGGGAGCGTACTGTGGCTTCAGGGCTAAAATACAGGCTGTGGCACAATATCCAACACACCACGATGCATGCAACTGTTTGAAAGCATGTCCCTCTCCCATTGCTTTCAGTAAGGAAGAGGCTAGAATATTAGAGAAAACGTTCCAAGGGTAGCAGGCACATGGGAACCTGCTGAGGCTAGGAAGAGAAACCATCTTAGGGAGGGTAGGACCAGGACATGGCCCAGACAGGTAAAGGCAGTCAGGCCTGTATGCAGAGGGGGTGTGGGTGTGAAAGGTGTGAATGCAGCCCCCCATGGTCCCTCAAGGAAGCATGAAGAGTTTCTGTAAGGGCAGTGGGTCCATGCTTGGGCTCACTCCCCTTTATGCCCCCGCAGCATGGAGCCCCCACTGGCACTCCAGCCTCATGCTCCCTCCCCCCCCTGCAAGGTTGGAGCCCCAGTGCTGGCTTCCCGCTTGGTGGGGGTGGGGTGAAAGCCCCAAGCCTTGCTGTGCAATTCAGCTTGCAGGGAAGAAACACTTCCCCTTTCCCTCCTCCCTTGGCTGGGAGAACAGCAGCACACAAGTGCACTGCCTGGCAGCTTTTCCCACTGCTGCCATTGGTTGGAATCTGGCCAATGGGACCAGAGGAGGCCATGCCTGGGAATGGCATGGGATGTGAAGGCAAGTCAGGGCCCCCTCGCTCCTCATGTCCAGACTCCGCACTCTCAGCCTCCTCACATATTCCCTTCCCTGCTGAGCCCCAGCACCCCTAACCTGCTCCTGCACCCTCCAAGCTGGCCAGACACTTTACCTCCAGCCTGCTCCTACCCCCTGGCCAGACACCTACCCCCAGCCCACTCCTGCATCCTCCCTCTGGCCCGACACCCTACCCCCAGTGTGCTCCTGTATCCTTTCTTGCTCTTACCCCCTCCCCCTGGTCAGACACCCTACTCTCAGCCTGCTCCTGCACTCCGTGCCCCACCCAGATTCTGTACCCCCAGTCCTCTCACTGGCAGCCCTGCCCCACACACTGAACCCCTCATTTTTGTCCCAACCCAAGAGCCTGGGGGATCCATAAAATCCACTAACCCTGGAACCCCAGAAGAGTAAATCTGGCCTATAGGAAGCCCTGAACCTCAGTCCTCCCTGTCCCTGTCCCTCCCCCAGTGAGGCTGGAGTGTCTCAGTTGGGGGCCACATCAGAGAAAGGGGGGGGATTGGGAGGGTGGTTGGTTTTTTTTGCTTCTCACTTGTGACCTGACCCAAAAAAGGTTCACCACCCCTGCCATAAATAAAGAAAACATGGGATTCTTTTGTGTTGGACAAATTAATATTTTACTTTATTTAAAATGAAGTTTGATAAACTTTGATAAGAAAGTTAAAGTGCTTAATCTATTTAATAATTTATATTAACATTTCCTGTCTTACTAGTTAAATTAAACTGTTCTCTCTAGCTGCAGCACTAGCAAAATGGCTCGGGTGTAATTATGTGATTAACGGTGAGTTTCCATTAGCAACTGGTGGACCACAGAAAGGTTTTCAGTGAGCCAGATGGGCCACAGGCCAAAAAGTTTGAGCGCTACTGTGTCAGGGGGATGGGAGAGTGCTGTGTTGCGGGGAATGGGTGAGCTGGTGGCAGCATGGTAGTGCTGGGGGGAATGGCGCCCCAAACCCAAGAGGAGCGGTCTGAGCCCAGTGCCGCTGGCTGGAAGCCCCACCCGCACTCACCTGGCATTAATCTTGCCGAGCAGGTAGAGCAGCAGTAGGCAGAGGCGGCTGAGGGAGCAGGGGGCCAGTGTGGCTGCGCTGCCTGCCATGATCCCAGAAGGTATTTCTATAAACCCTTTATGACTGTATAAATGTTTAGTGTGTTATAACAAAATCGTTTACCAGTCACTGTTTACACTTAGATATTTCATTAACTTCTCTTATGCACACTCATTGTATGACTATTTTGAACTCCTTTATCTTTCAAAAAATTGTAGTCCACATTAACAACCTACCCTCCCCCTCTCAAAATTCCTGTGTACGGGCCTGGGCAGTAGACTAAATTCTTTCTTGTTTATCACGCATGAACCCCCTACTGAGGTCAGAAAGCTTCTCTGGTATAAGTGAGGCTGAATTAGACCCACTGTTTTAGACCAGCACTGCCCAGAATGTATGCCGCCCAGAATGTATGCCACCCTGTATGACACCAATTTGGTTTGTTACTTGAATCACATTACAAACTTGATTTGTCATCTACCATCACCCCGCACACTGTTGTTTCCTGACTCCCTCCCGCTCATTTTCATTCCCCCTCCCCAAACACATGAGCTTCTATCCTCCAATCAGATCACTGTTTCCAACCTAGCCATAATATAAAATATGTGTGTTCTCATTTACAGGATGTCTCACTGATGGAATCTGAAGAAGCCAATGGAGTAGACCCCATTCCCCTAGCAACCAGCAGCCTTAGTAAGGGAAACCCTGACATTTTACCAGCCAAAAGGGGACATCATGCCACCAGTGAATCTGTAGTGATGAGCACGGGGCTGCCTGGTTCTGCAGCAGGAGTACAGCTCTCCCTTGCCCAGGACCTTCTGAGGCATCTCTCTGTTGGGGAATCAGCAGAGATGTGTGGCAGATCTTCTAACCCTGTACCAGCAGGCCCGGAACAAGAGGAGAAAGATTTAAGGCACCCAAGAAGATTCTCAGAGTGGGAGAAAGATCCTGCAGAGACACCTGTGCAAACAGAGACTTGGGATCGCTCCTCAAACTCTGATCAGGGAAGGTTAGCTCATCCTGAAAGCAGTCAGTATTCTTCCTCTCCCAACACAGACCCACAGGCACCAGACTCTGATGACAAAAACCTGCAGGTACAGTCTCCAGCCCTTCATATCATGTTTCCTCAGGATCAGAAACAATGCCTACCATGTCATGCTGTTGTCTCCCACATACAGCATGAGGAAACCTCAACAACAGACACTGTTCCCAGCCAGCGGGAACCAGGCATTAAACACTTCCTGGTGTGTAAACAAGTTTCAGAGGTTTATTGCAAGACTGAGACTTTGCACGATGACAGCGTTGGGGATTCCCCTTTGCAGGGGGTGGATGTAGCAAATGGGACCATCAGAGAGTTCCCGCCAAGGACTGAAGCAGTGGCAGGGGCTGACAAGGAGACAACTCCTGGGATGGATGCAGCAGGCAGGACGGATCCCATGCCTTCTGGAGATGGCGATGAAAAAGCAGGAGGCTTAGAGGGAGGAGGAGAGGATACAGACTCTCCTTCTTCACATCAGCCACCCTGTCCCTTATTGGATGACGGCCAAGGAAGTTCACAGCTGACCGGAAGAGATGTGAATGGAAAGATAGCCCCGCCATCCCACGAGAGAGGGAACAATGCCTTGGCCACCGACCAGAAAAAAGAGGTGGTTGCTGAACAAAGTCTGTCTGGTTTCATAAATCTCCATCTGGAGGAGGAGGAGGAGGAGAAAGAAGCAGACAATGGAAAAGCAGAAGGCAGCACTGAACCTCCAAGTGAGTCCATGTTCCACATACAGAACGCTGCGAAAAATACAGAGGAGGAGGAAGAGCAGCACGAGCAGCTAGAAAGCAGGGAGGAGCCAGAAGAGGAGGAGCAGGCGGAACAAAAGCTGCTAGAGCTGGAACAGGAAGAGCCAGAATGGGAGAAGCTGCAGAAGAAAGTGAAACCAGTGCAGGAGGAGCCTGTAGGCAAGAGAGAGAATCCAAAAGAAAACAGGTGGGACCAGCTGGAACAAGAGCCGGGGAGAGAAGAGGTGGAGCTGGGGGCTCCACCAGCACTCAATCCGGCACCACTTCTCTCCCAGGAAAACTGGCACCTCCATGATGTGGGGGAGAGCAGCTTCTCGGCTGAGGGAACAGGACCAGTCTCTCTGCCTCAGGAATCATCTTCCAAAGATCAGCACCCTGGCGAGGATATTCTGTCTGACAGAGGGTTGGAGACCTGCACAGGAGGAGTAAGTATAAGAGCTCAGACACCTGCTGTGGCAACGTCTGAAAGTCAGACCCCAGTGGATCGGAGTCCCGGGATATCCTCCCTCCCTTGCCACGTGTCTGAGCATCGGGGGGAGACAGGGATTTCTAGCCCTTCCAGCTCCATAACGGGCAATGGCCAAGATAGTGGAGAAACCAGTCAGGATGACACAGGCAGTAGCGGTGAGGATAGCCATAGCGATGGAGATGGAAGCAGAGTTCAGAGCTTTGATGGAGGAGGAGCCATCTCTCCATTTTGCACGGAAGTAACCTCATCTGGTGCAGGGAGCTCAGACTCTTCTAGGACTCTGGACCCTTTTTCTGGTGCCAGGAACTTAGAATCTCTTGGTCACACTGATCCTCATCCTGTTGCAGAAAACTCAGCGTTTCCCGGTCATTACGATTCCACTCCAGCCTCACCATCAGAACTCAACTCGGCAGGCGCGCGCGCGGGCGCACCTCCAAAAAATGGC